AGCGGAGAGGGGCACTGGGCCGACTCTCCTTCAGGCATGGGGAGGGGCCCAGAGATGCTGCCGGCATCTGAGGGGGACCTGACACCAGTCAAGGTCCCGCCCCTCCCACCTGCAACTCCACCTTCCCACACCCACCTCGAAGGTGCACCCACAGACCTGGCCAAGGAGAAGCCACTGTCTCCCTGGGAAAGCCTCCGAGCGATCTGACCTCGGCTGGGCCATGCTGGCTTCTGGAAGCACTGCAGCAGGACTGAATCCGGCTGGGTCAGAGGGCACGGGGACCCGGGCTGGCGTGCCGCACACCGAGGCTGAGGGCACAGAACGTAGGAGGCCTTCCCAGGTCAGGGAGTTAGGAGACAGGCTCCTCCAGCCCAGGGCTGCTGGGTGCACCATGGGAGCCGTGGGTGTTCAAGGGCTCAGGTGGGATGGCAGGGGAGCAGTCTTCCCGGTAAGACACTCACCAGGTGTCTGAAAAGAGGACTAGGGGGCTCCGCGATAACAGGGCGTGGGGCAGTGAGGACAAGTCTGCGCCCCCACAGGGCCCCAGGACAGACCACAGCTGCCGGGCCTCCCGGTCCACGGAGGGCATCTGTGGATGCCGGAGCTCCACGGCCCTCCCTGCGAGGCCCTGCCCGTGGCTGGCCGGCTGGTGCCTCTTCCTGGCAAGCAGGGTAGCACGGGCCAGGTGTGTGCCAGCCCAGAACCGGCCCTCGGCAGAAGCCACGGCGCCCGCAGGGCAACCCTGGGAGTGGCCATGTAGCCAGCTCCCGGCGATGCTGTCTGAGCCCCACGAGCGCAGAACACGGGAAAGCTGGAGGGAGCCCACAGAGCAGCTGAGGTCCCCGGCCCACTGGGCACAGGAACCAGAGAGGAGCCCACTGTGGTGCGGCCGAGGGCCGGGGCGCTGAGCTCGAGGGCAGGCCCTGGTGGCCGCCACCTGGTTGTCCTGACAGGCAAGAGCGCCTGGGACCCCATCTCTGAGCACAACACTGCCCAGGGTCCCCCTGGGGGGCCACACATGCCCTGAAGTCCGGCCCACCTGGCCCCCGATCCCGGGTCTGCAGTGAACCTGGGAGTGCCTGGAGGAGACTGAGACCCCCTGCCTGACCTGGAGCCCTGAGAGGTCCCGGCCGCTGGACACAGCTGCAGGACGGACTCCTGGCAGCAGCTCTCTGGGGCCCGGTGTGCAAAGGCAGAAAAGCCACAGCTGGCAGAGGCCCACAGACAGGCAGGGCAGGGGAACCACCCCAGCCCCATCACTGACGGGGACCAGCGGATGCCGGCTCCCAGCGCTCCAGCTCACAGCAGCAGTCCTGGGTGACTCCCGCGGGTCTGTGCCAGGGCACATCGCACCTTGGCGGGGCCCCGGCCCCACACCCACAACGCAGCCTGGCAGGTGTGGGTCCCTTGTGAGAGAGCCGGCCACAGTGCCCACCAGACACAGGGTCCGGGACCTCACACAGTGCCTGGGGACGGAAGGCCCCCTTTTCACCAAGAGCGTGGGGTGGTGGAGATGCTCAGACGCTGCCTGCTCCGAGGCCGTGGGGTGGCCGTGGGGTGGCCTTCCCTGCCCACCGCTCACCTGCTGAAGACCAGGCAGCCCAGGTGGTTGATCTCGTGGTCCGAGCGGCGGCGGCTGAAGTCCTCCCACAGGTCCTTGAGGGCCGTGACAGCCAGGATGAAGAGCACGGGCGCCAGCGCCAGGCCGGGCTGGAAGGCGCTCAGTGCGGGCACGAAGTTGAGCAGCGCCACCAGCACGAAGTACACGTTGGCCAGGCGGTGGAACTGCTCGAACAGGTTCTTGGGCAGGAACGACAGCAGCGTGTACTTGGTGGTCTTGAGCCGGTTGTCGGCCGGGTGCTGGGCACAGCCGCGCCGCCGCCCGTC